CACTGCCAAAAACTGCTCAGCCGATCCCTTTGTCAGAGGAAGCTGGACGGCGGACTTGGTCAGCGACAGCGAGGGCAATGAGCCAGAGCCTTGACTCATTGGTGAGCGTAGATGTTGTAGATGTCTGTGGCAGTTTATCGTTTGCTGCGCTTCTGGCTGTTGTCTAGCCGCGCTGGCGATGTCTGCGTGCTTCCTCGACACGTCCAGCAGAAAGAGCAGAAGCAGCCCTCCGCGAAAAAATGCGCTGACCATTCTTCGTGCGTGTGTGGACAAGGTTGCCAAGACAGACGCGGCGACGCAGCATCCCTGAGCATGTTTTGATCCGCACATCGCGACTAGCTTGGATGAGCTGACGGCCAAGGGCGACTCATGGCGCAAGAGATTCCAGGCCGTCTTGAAGAAGGCGGGCGGAAGCGCGCGCCCTGGCGCTCAAGAACTGGCTCTAGCAAGAAGTGGCGGCTGTGAGCAAAGACGTGGAGCGCCAGTGGATCCATTGGTTTTGTGAGCGCTGGTTCTCGTTGGGTGTGTGGCTGCGCGCGCCCGTTTTCCGCAGAGGCTTGTTAGAAGGCCGATGGCCTGCGTCTGGGAACGCGCTGGCTTCAAGTTTCCGGACGCGCAAAATTATGTGGGTTGCGCTTACTTGAAGCCTTGATGGGTTGCATATGGCTTGAGGCATGGCTTGAGGGTCAGTTGGCGCGACTGCTTCTTTTCACTTATCTCCGCAGCCCTGCGCTTCTTCCGTGGTCCTGTGTCTAGCTTCTTCCGGCCTTTGGCTTCTTGACGCTGACAGGACATGCTGTTGTGCAAGCATTTGGTGGCGCAGCGCCTGAGTTCTTATGCTGCCTTTGAGGCTGGTCCGCCAAACATGTTGCGGCGCATTGTTCCCGACCTTCCTCTTGTCAGGCTGTACACATACACTCCTGCCTGCTTGCGCCATCGATGAGTGTTTTTTCTCAACCGTAACAACGGACTCTGGCGACTCAGGGTTGAAAACATCAGTTGCCAAGAGGCGCCACGATCTGGCGAATCTGGCCCGACTACTTCTTCTCGAAAACAGATTGAAACGGACATCTCCTTTCATCATCTCGGCCTTCCGGCCTGCTAGCGCTAGCTCAGAGAAGCAGGTCCAGCACAACACCAGAGCAGCGCGGCGAAAGAATGCCTTTGATCTATTTCCGACGTCAAGCGCGCAGTCTGCAGACTTTCGCAGCGCGACCCTGGCAAGAGCACGCGTCGCTCGCCGTGGCTGAAGTCTGCCTCACAGTCACCGCGCTGCATGGTGCGGCAGCTGGCTGCGTCGTCTGCATCTACATGCTTCAAGCTGCAGCGCCTAGCGAAGAGCAAGACGGATGCTAAGCGGCCCGCTGGTGCTTTCAAAAGGAAAGTAGTCCAAGCGCTTGCTGGCGCAAGCGCGAGGCTTTTGCTTGCGCGGGCGCAGGAAAGTGCTCAGCTTCGTAATCAACGCAGATGAAGCGACAGCTGGCAACGTGTTGGCCACGTGTCAGCGGAAAAAGCAATGATGAGATACGCTGTGGTGAGGGAAGTAATAGCCTAAAGAGCGCGCGCGCTTCGCTTCCAGTGTTTTGCGTCCCTCGCAACGACATGCCCAACGCTGATCTCCTCTCCTACCATACTTGCTGGGCACGAACGTCTTGCGCAAGTATCTCTGCGCAGATCATGAGGGCTGCAAGCTTCCTGCGTCCAAGACTCATTTGAAGCCACGTCGCTTGTGCGCGGGGTTCATCGTGGCATGAGTCGCAAAGGCATCAGGCCAGGAATTGCCAAGCCAGATGATCACTTCCAGAGCATCGCGCGCGCAGGGAGTTCCAAGCAGCTTGTCCATGCGAACTTGGGACGACACTTTCTTGCGGGAGTCGGCCGGCTGAATTAAAAAAAACACGGAAGAGAGCTGCGGCCCCAAGCGGCGCTCTGGCCTGCCCTGCTGCGCGAGCGGTTTTATCTGTGGGCAAGATCTGTGTAGACAGCACGCGCAGCTACATCTCCAGCGGCGTTACGTCGGAGGAAATGTTGAAGCTACGGAAGGCACTAGCGCTCAGGTGTTGGACGGTCAGTGGCAGAGGTGAAGTGGCAGCGCAGTGACGCGCAGATCTCTTCTCCGCCCTCATGGGGATGATGCTTCCACGCTCCGCTTTCAAAAGGCACAGTCTAAAGGGATCTGCAGGCTAGGTGTGGAAGAAGCTCCTACCGCTCCTCGGCTTCTACGCCTGGCAGGTAGGATGAGATGTCTTGCTGCATCCTGGGTGTGACTACGCTGCGTAGTGATGTCTTTCCTTGCGTTGAGGCTGCGGTGGGCCTGTTGCGCAGCAATCCTTGCATCCGCTCCCGTCGATACGAAGTAGCCAACAGCTCAGGTTCTACTGCACCTGCGCGACCTTCGGCGCGGCGATGTTGCCCGCCTTGCGTCAAGGGCTGTTTGCAAAAGGCGCCCCGCGAGCATCATCTACGTCTGCATTTAGCTAAGTGCTACGAGCGGGGCGGTTGGGACTGCTGGCCAACAGAAGCCAGACACAAGCTATGCAAGCATGTGCGCAACCTCCAACAGCAATTTGCATATTGTGCTGGGCACTTTTTTTAGGAGCGTGCTGACGAGAATATTGAGTATTGTCTCAGACCATTGGAAGCCGGCGCTTTCGGGAGATGCGTTTGCCGCAGCGCAGAGGAAGATGAAAAGCCGAAGCACAAGGTACTGCTCTGGCGGCTTGGATCTTCGTGCTGGAGACATCCTTTTCTTGGGCTTGCTCAATTCTTCTTGCAAGATGCACAGTGGGTGACCTGCCGTCGAACCCTTACTGACCGATGCGCCGTCTACAGTCTCTTTTTCCCCTTCATCGTAAACCTCTGGGAAGAGTGCTGCAAACAAGCGCTCACATCTGGACGCACAGCGTCGTGCGAAAAGACCAAATTTAAATGACATGAGGCAGCATTAGCATGGGACATATGCAACCCTGACTGTTTTTCCATATCGTGGCTCTTGTTGTATCTCAGCCCTGCCAAAGGCATGGGCGCTATCTGTCTCACTACCCGTTGGGCCCTCAGGAGTCCGTCCAACCACTGCCACAGCAGCGGATAGAAACCCGCGTCGCGACCAGTTTGAATGCAAAGAAACCCACACGCAAACGCGTTTTTGTAACCACAATGACTCAAGGCGCCTTCGCGCCGACAGGATATACAATGTTCCTTTGCAACCTAGCGCGGTCGCAGGAGAAGTTAACGTATTCACAAGGAGAACCCCAACACGCTAGATAAGGGCCCAACGTGTCAACAAATTTCAGGCTGGTCTGTCATCTCACAAACAACAGGTACCTAACCGTGTGATTGACTCAGTGTGAGTCGGATGCTGGCTGACCCCGCCTGCGACACCATCACATCCTGGAATCGCAGGAGGGATAAAATGCGAGTTCGCAAGCGAAATGGCAAACTGATTCAACAAACAGCGCCGCGCAAACCGCCTCCTCTTTGCTTGAATTGTAATTATTGAAGAGGCCCGGCCACATCATGTCTGGGATTGCTGCAGGCAAAGTGAGCATTGTGAGCACGAACACGTATTGTGACATGGGCTGGGGGCACACACGGCTGCATGATACTACGAACTACGCATCGCCACTAAAACACCCGGACACTTCAATAGGTCCACAAAGGTTTTACACTACCTCCGCCAGCGTTACCGCCAGCCCGGCCGACCAATTTAAATACCCGATTTAGATAGGTGTTTTGCGTCAGGCTTTGAAAGCCTGCCTCTGGCCCGGCCCGCCTGCGTTTCCGAAAATAAAAACGGGCGAAGGAAAGCCAGAGCCAATGTAGCAGTGATACATGGGCTCGAGCGTTACAGTTTACACGCAGCTGTGTTTCCGCAAAGCCTCTGCGAAGCCTCCCCGAAGCCACCACGGACCAACATGCTTCACCCACTTCGAGGGCCCACGCCTTCAATCTGGAGGCCCAAGTCGTTCTTGTCAATTTGCTTGTTGTTCGTTGCCAATTGCATCTTCCGCAACCATTCGGTCGTTCTGGGATTCGTTTGAAAACGGGCCCCATCCCAAGAACACCATTTGAGGAAATCTGTGTTCGTATCTTTCTTGCTTTCTTTCTCCACGGGCCGCTGCACCGCAGAACTGGTGCTAGGGATTCGGGGCAGGAGTTTGCGAATATGAGATGGTCCTCAGGGGTCTGAAGCAGGTCTGAAACAGGTCTGACACAGGGCCCAATGCCAAGATCCAGGCATTCTCTCTCTCTCTCTCTTGCTTCTCTTCTCGCTCTTCCAACTCTTTTCATTCTGGGATTTGTTGGACAAAACTCCCATCCCAAGACGCCAGGAGTTTCAAGAATTCAAGCAAATCTGGGAGCCCCGTGTGAAACAAGGGGCGTTCATGTCTTTAGGCAGCCCAACTCAGCGCACTGAGCTCCGCAATTCCAGGCGTTTATGTAGCATGGAAGTACGACAACACTTGTCTGCAATTGCAAGCATCGGTGTTTACACCGACATGGCGCCTTAGACCTGGCTTGGCAGGAGCTAGCGCAATGCAGCTGCTAGCAAGGGCTTGAATTGTGTTACGCCCTGCGTTCACGGGGAAGGGATCTGTCTCGGTGTTGCCATTCAAAAAACGAATTCATATTTCAAACTACAGTGAGGGTGGCCCGGCCAACCAAAATACCCGATTTAAGCAGCCTCCCAGCCCTGAAGCCCTGGCCCAGCCCCACATATTTAAAAGTCGTCACCGTAACCCTGCTTTGGCTACAAAGCGTTTCTGCCCTACAACTGCAAGGAATGTTAGGAGTCTTTGCTGCAGTCCGTACCTTGAGACGAAGAAGCGAACTCGCTTCGGACTTTGCCAGCGGACTTCAGGCCATGGCCCGGTTCAAGGCAAGGACAAAATGGATAGGCCCCACCCAAACCTATGATCCGTGGATGCCGAGATGGCATGATAGGTGAAGCGCAAAGCATCCAAGGCCAAGTCTAAAAAATCACATGGCTTGTTACAGAA